AGTTACTTTTACTGGACTTTTTCATATAAATAGGATTTCTGACATATTTAGATTTGACTCTGGTATGCATTTAGGAAAAAACATACCTGTCCATGTAAAAAATATTTGCTTTCATTTTATTTTTAACTTATATTTATTGAATATATATATATATATACCACTATTGGGTGGAGATATAGAAAGACAGTTCCACAATGCAGTTGTATAACATTTTCTGATCTGTTGTGTTACTGTTGGTAACAGTAAATTTGTTCACCACTGTTTTTCAGGTTTTAAGATTAATGACTGACAAAAAGTACTGAACTATTTAACATTATATAGGCTTGAGATTTATTTTGACAGATAATAAAATTACAACCTGTTGTCACGGTTGCTGTTGATGTTGGCATGGTTGATGTTGTCATGGTTGCCGTTGGTGTTGACATGTGTGGCGTTGTTGATGACATGTGTGGCGTTGTTGATGAGCCGCACATCCCTGTACAAAAAATGAATTACCAATAAAAACAGCCATTAGTTGGACAATGAAACTACTTAAAGTCTTTGTCAAGTGAGGCCAAGACAGACTTACTGTAGTAGTCATAGCAACAGTTTCCATAGTATTCACAGGAGCTGGAGCAGGAACAGTCACCAAGGTGATAGCCACAGTTGTATCGACAGCTTTTCTGAGCTGAAGGAGATGATAAAGTGTTTAGTGATGATTCAGGAGAGACTGAGAAACAATCAGTTACTTTTACTGGACTTTTTCAATAAAATTAAAACCTGTTGTTATATTTCCTGGTGATGTTGTCATGGTTGCCGTTGATGTTGTTATCCCTTGCTTGATGAGCCGCACATCCCTGTACAAAAATGAATTACCAATTAAAACAGCCATTAGTTGGACAATGAAACTACTTAAAGTCTTTGTCAAGTGAGGCCAAGACAGACTCACTGTAGTAGTCATGGCAACAGTTTCCATAGTATATACAGGAGCTGGAGCAGGAACAGTCACTGAAGGTATAGCCACAGTTGTATCGACAGCTACTCCAAGATCCTGTAAAGGATACAATGAAGTGTTTAGTGATGATTCAGGTGATACAGAGAAACAATCAGTTACTTTTACTGGACTTTTTCATATAAATAGGATTTCTGACATATTTAGATTTGACTTTGATATGCATTTAGGAAAAAACATACCTGTCCATGTAAAGAATATTTGCTTTCTTTTTATTTCTTATTATTTATCATGTTATGTTAAGACTTATTGAACAATTCAAGTCTGAGGGTTTAGCTGTACCTGATGTCTGCCATCGTTCATCACCTAAAAGAGAAGTGAAAAGAACAAGAAAAATGAGTAGATACATGGATTACATTTGTATAATGTACATATATATGTATACAGTGTATATATACAGACACATATATATGTACACACATATGTATGTATATATACAGTATATATATGTGTGTGTGTATATATATATATATGTATACATATATGTATATTATACAAGTTGTAAATAGTACCTTTCACTCCCAGTGAGGCGGTGATGCTGGACAGAAACACCAAAGTCCACATCATGTTGAACTGTTTTCCTCTTCCAACCTGCTCTCTGTGCAGAACATAACTGCTTAAATACTAAAAATCAGCCTGGAGTTATTCAAGTCACTGAGGGTGAGAAGAAACACACCTGATTAAAGTCATAAAGTACTCTTAGCACGAGGTAATATTTAGGCCAATTAGGCCCTCTGAGCAAACTTCTCAGTGACGTCAGGTCATGAGTACCTGACATCTGAGTTCCTGTTATGTCGGTTACACCCTGGTGTTTGACAAATATACAGTAGTCACAACATTTTCTTTCTTCTTAAGTATATTATTATGACACACTAATAATATCTGGTCCACATCTTAAGCTTTATATATTTTTTCATAGTTGTGTTTTATAATAATTGTATTATTAAAATGTATTTATTCTAATTAAGTAAATAGTCATGTTTATTTATAGCACAAATATGCAGTACAATATACTAAATCAATTTACTTGTGTAAATGTATTACCGACGACGCAGCCTTAGGTCTACGTTAAAAATAAAAAAAGAACAATAAAATTGCAAGATTCAAGTCGTAAGTTCATGAGACAAAAGTCGTAAATTTATGAGAAAAGTCATAATGTTACGAAACACGGTAAACACAGTTTATTGTTTTTAGTTTCTTTTGTTTACAGTCGCTCGTCAGAAGGACAAAAAACATTTTTAAAAAATCACAGGTTTTTTCTACCATGTTTAATTATCATTTTTGTTGAAGCTCTTGACTGAAGCTAAAAAAACAAAACTCAGTTGGTGTCACAGTCATACTGACAGATGATTTTTTTTATCAATTTTCAACTGTGATATCACTGTGGGAATCTGAACAGCCTTGATGATGATTTCACTTCTTATTGTGTTATTTTTTTATTGGTGATAAAGTCATTAATCACTGAAGAGGATATGTAGGGTTTTCTTTAGGAGGAAGTGCTACTACGTGCACTGTTGACTCAAGTGGACGTGGAGGACTTTCACCTTGATACCTTCACAGATGTCACTCTTAATTTAAACATCTGGGTTGCGTTATAAAAGTCTCAGTTGTTATTAGAAAATAGTCAAGAGTTGACCGTTCTCCCAGGACAGCGTGGATCATTCCTCCTCTAGATCCTGCTTTTATATCAGTGGTGATTTTTGTTGCAGCTCTCTCCTTTTCTAAAAGTTTCCAGAATTCAAATAAATCAAATTCACAGTATATATAAGTTGACATCTCTGCATCACAAAATGTCAAATGTTCAGCATTAAAAAAAGTATATCCTAAATTCCCCAGTTGCTGGAAAGATCAGGATGTAGAGTCTGAGGCCCATGAACCATTCACACTTAAAAAATAAATAAAAAAATATATAAATATATA